CCCACGTTCCCATCCTATACAGATCATTCGTGGCCCGCTTTTGGCTGGAGTACCTAAACGGTGAGCAGAAACTTGTTCCTGCTTTGCTGGCAAACAACCACACAGCTCTGGATCAGGGTCAGGAGATAGCAGCGGCCAAAGCCAAGACTGACTGGACCAAGCTTCTTCCGGTGGCCTTCCAGAAGAGCTATAAACCTATGTTTCCGCTTCAAGGTGACTCAAAGCTGCTGGAGAAGCTGCCAGGCCTGCTGGATGTGAGAGCGGTGCCTTTACTTGCTGATATGAAAGTGCTGAAGGCCGTGCCGCCCGCTTACATCATGACCTGTGAGCATGACGTGCTGAGAGACGACGGACTCATGTACGCCACGCGACTGGAGGAGGCCGGAGTGGACGTCACTGTTGATCACTATGAAGATGGTTTCCATGGATGCCTCAGTTTCGCTTTTGGACCCTTTCGGTTTTCTGTTGGAAGACGAAGTCTTGGGAACTACATCCATTGGCTGAAAGAGAACCTCTAAAGACTCATATAGGCTGGGTTTATGTTAAATATATTTTAATTTTAAATTAGATTTTTAAATTTAACATACAGTCCAATATGAAAAGGCTTCAAAGTTATTGCTACAAAATCTGAACAAACATGCTGTTTTAATACAGGGAATTTATGATAAAATTTTATTTAAAGCTGCAGTCCGTAACTTTTTTTGTGTTCAAAATTTATATAATAAGCGAGTACACCATGAATCCATTTTCCAAACCGTGTTTTTGGCTTGTCCTGAATCACTACGGTACACCTATAATAAGTGTTTATATTCTGACTATTTAGACTGGTTCGGGTAGGCACCGCTGTGGAGTAGCCCAGTGCCTGCGTGATTCGCCATAGACATAAACAGAGAGAAGTAGCTCCGGCTACAATGTTCTTCCACAAGATGCACGCAGTTCTGTTTATTAACCTCTAGAGCGCCCAAAAGTTACGGACTGCAGCTTTAATGTCAAATGATTTATGCAGTGCAATTGGAATTTATAAACGGGTATAAAATGAACTCTAAAGTTAATGTGCATAAATACTTTAAATGCACAAGATATTATATAAATGTTTGGTTTGTTAGCTTTCTTCAATTAACACACTTTCTTCAATTAAACTTTTAAAAATTAGTTGATCTGCATATAAACATACTTAAATTACATTTTTGGGTTATAATATACAAAAACAATCAAATTACTCAAATAAAATGCAGTATAAAAATGAATATATACATAATAGAAAGATAAAAAACAGGGTAATGAGTCAAATAAAACAAGCAGTATTCACTTTTCCAAAAAGAAAATAATAATAATAATTAATAAAAAACAAATAGGATGAATGGGGAAATTAGTAATATATATTATTTTTTGGCAAGACAGAGCTTTCAGGGACAGATATAATTTTAGATGGATATAGCACATGTTCATAAAAATATGCCATAAAATATTTTCTCAAAGCGTATCATCATGCTTACATATAACTTACGTCTGTTAAAATACAACACTACTGGGAAAATGTTCGAACTCTTGTCTGGGATTTGCAACTTCTTTGGCAGTTTCTTTGTTGCTGGCAGTCAGCAGTTTTGACAAAAGGGAATTTCCTAAAAACCTAGCAGAGTGGTGGTTTAATGAAACACAAGCTGGAAGGGAGGATTTGAGGGACGCTATCTGTCACTGTTAGCGCATGGGAAGCGCCGGGGGGAGCAGATAAGCGCGGCTCTCGCTGTTTTTCTCACCTGTGAGACCTTCGCTTTTTTTTCTGTAATTGGGAGTGTGAGGACAATAATCAATTTCTCTTGATGTTTTACAGACACTTCCATTATTCTCAGGGAAAAGTGTAAAAAAGGGAACTGACTTTTTAAACAGATGATCTTTGTAATACACCCACATTTATGTCCTCTTTTCTAGCTCTTATTGTTTTGTAACCACTCTGCATGCCAGTTTCCAAAATGATACTACTATCTTCTTTCAGGTATGATGAGTATGTGAGACAGTGAAGGCTGTAATCATGTTTCTTTTGATGCTGTGTTCAAATATAGCAATTGTTTGGGAACCGTCTTGATTATGATTTCTTGGCTACAAAATAAACCACTGACAATGACTTGCTTTTGTGAAAGATGTCACTGTTCTCCGGCACTGCACATGGGAAAGAAAAATCACAAAACTGTAATATCTTGATGTCACAAACAGAGTTGTTCCAAAAAACGTCAGGGATTTTAATATGAACATTTCTTGCTAGTTATGTCATAGACCAGCTGTACTATCCACATGAATTTTCTTAATATATCACTATATTTCAACAACGTTATTTCAAAAAAAAATTTGTTATGTTTTATATTAACATTTTTATTATTTGTATTGTATATATTTAATTATGTTTTATAAAATTAGCACTAAACTTAGCTGAGCCATACTATCCACAGTCATTTTATGAAGAAAAGAAAACAAAAGAAATCTGCTGTAAAAATGAATAACTAAACTATTCTATGAAAGCCTATTTCCACCACATGAGAAAAAAACCAATTATGACAGACATAATTATATAACATAAAAAAATGAAATTATGAGATACTAAGTCATTTATGAGAAAAAAAGTCTAAATTATGACAAAAATGTAAAAAATTACTTTTTCACTGTTTTTGTCATAATTCTGATTTAGTTTATCTCATAATTCTGACTTGTATCATAATTTAGACATTTGAAGTCAATATTTTGACTTTTTTTATATAGTTAATTGTCTATAAAATGTCATATTAATGTCAAGTGGTAGAATATTGTGCTATAGCAATGCTAAGGTCATAAGATTGATTCCCAGTGACAAACTGATAAACGTACAGTATACCTTGCACCTAATGTTGCGTTGATTACATACCGAAATGAGACATAATTATATTAATTATATTGAATTTTACTGAGGTATAAAAGAGCAACGACTAAGCTATAAACATATCTGGGTGTATCTTTTTCGCTGAAATCACAAAATACAAAACAGAACAAATGAACTCAGAAGAACTTGAAACAAACTTAGTCTATTTCTCAGCTTCTTTCTCAGATTTTTTATTTGATCCAGTGTTTGTTAACTTCCTTTGAAGAGTCTTTAAGAAGTTAGTTCTGTTTTTGCTTTTCAAAGATTTCCTATGTGACTGTGACATAAGGGTGAATTGCTAACTCTTTAAGTGAACACAGGCAGCGTTAGCCTGCAGGCCGAACTGAGATTATCCTGCTGACTGGAATAACCTGTTATCGTTCGTGCTTTGACAGAGAAACTGAAAAAAAGCGGAGATGTTTTTATGTGAACCTACTCAAGAGTGTGACAGGTCATGTCACATGGCCAAACTTGATCTCAAGAAGCTAGATGGCAAAGTGCGAGGCAGTTCCTGTTCCCAGCAGCTACATAACCTGATACACATCTTCAAACTTTGCATAATTTGCCTTCGGGAAGAGTTTTTCATGCCAACGTCTCAAATCCCCCGTAGATTATTATAACACCTGTAATACGAGTAGTCAATGATTAATCAGGGAAAGCTGCGTGATTATTTCAAAGGAAAACAAGACCCGAGTAGTTCACATACCTAGCGCTTGGAGGAATGTTATCCTTCACATTGTTCATTGCTTCCTGAATTTAAGGGTAGTTGCTTGCACGAAGCCAGGCCTCCCATTTTCCTGTAAAGCAGTTAATTGTCAAAGCTATTACTGCAATATTCCTGAGCTGATGACAGCTAGACACTTAGTGACTCATTAAAAATCGAGGCCTGATTTCATTTCTAACAGAAAGTTCTGTGTGGCAATGTACATGCAAATAAATGGTTTACCTCCACTTCTGAGTGCTTAACTGTTTTGGAAGTGAATTCAATTCGAATATGACACATACAGTGTGAACAACCACAATCACATTTAAAAACAGGAGCAAATCCAGTAATAGATTGTTTATATTTGATGTTTTACTTCACTACATTCTAAAAGTCTGATATTTTATGTTTTACTCCACCACATGTAATAAAAAACATGTCGCTCCTCATTAATTCACTGAAGACACTGAGACCCATTCCAAGAAGCAATAGCGATGTCCGATTCACACATAAATCATTTATTTTCAATGAAACTGCTGAATTGGTTCACAATTCACACTGAACCATTTGTTTGCAAATTGGCCTGGGCTGCTTTTCCCAAAAGTATCATAAGCCTAATTGGCACCAAATGGTCTCTACGATCTACTTGGCTTACAATGCTTTTAGGAAACTCTGCCCAGGCTAATTCACAAATGAATCTTTCAGTGTGATTTGTGAACTGATTCAAAAACCACCATAAAGGCCTGTTCACACTAAAAAGAATGATAATGATAACTATAACAACAACCATATAAGCCTCCACACCAACGCACAGTAACATTCTGTTTATCATAAGTCGTTGTCTGATACATTAAATGCTCGAGCTCTTTAAAGTCGGATGGATTCTGATTGGTTTTCAATGTTTTTTATCATTCATCAGCTGGAAAAATATCCTTCTGAAAGTTATTCCAATGATTTGGTTCCTCTGTGTCATTATTGCAATAGTTGAGGTGTGGATGTCACTATTCTTAATTAAAATGATTACTATGACAAACAATTATGAGAATAAAGTTGAAATTATGACATAAAAAGTCATAAATGTGACTTAAAAACAAAAATAGCACAATATGTCATGAATATCACCTTTTTATCTCATAAATATGACGTACTTTGTCATCATTTCAACTTTTTATGTCAAAACGATGACTTTTTGTCATATTTCTGATCTTTTGTGTCAATTTGGACATTTTATGTCAGAATTTTGTTTATGTCGGATTATGAATTTTTATCTCATAATTTGGACTTTTCTCCCATTCTTTTTTCCATTCTTTCCTATGCTTTTTTTTGCTGGGTTTTGAGCAGAATAATTGTCTCTGAAACAGTTCATTTACTTTTGATAATTAAAGAGACGGTTCAATAAAAAAAACGAAATAAATAAAATACAAATAAAAAAACTTTCATTATTTACACACCCTCATGTTATTCCAAGTCTACATCACTTTCCTTCTTCTGTGGAACACAAACAAACAAAATGAATAAATGTAAATGTAAATTAATAAATGTAAATGAGTGAATAATGCCATGTTCTTGATCTATTCCTTGGTAGTGCTACAGTAATGCTGAAATGTATTTCATTCGATTAACTGTAGTTAAACTCAAGGACATGAGTTTGTCCAGCGCTGGCACTCACAGTACATCATGTACATCACTGAGTGGTCAAACTTGTGTAGACAAGACTTTCTGATGAACATTTGAGCCTGTTTCATGTACTTTTCTGTACTTGACATGTTGGCTTGCGCGTTTGCACGCAGAGTCAGAGTTTAGCTCATCTATTACACCGCACCCAAGAATGACCATTTGGCTTTCACAGCTTCTTAATAGAGAAATACTGCCAAGTCTAAAAGCACACAACACCCCTCTAAGCCTTCACATTTTCATCTTCATAAATCAACTGAGGATATCTTCTCCTCCTTAGCGGTTTGAGGCAGACTTTCTCAGCGATCTCTGACCTGAAGTGCATGTCTATTTGAAAACCTAAATAAATATATATAGCATGCATTAATTTCAGCTCTGATGGCTATGGATGGAGCGAGGGCAGGCTGGCCCTCAGTACAATCCTCCCACATGGCG